TTGTTTATAGTCTCATAAAGGATTGAGAGTAGATTGCATTGATAAAAGTACAGTTAAAGATGTGATAGGAGCTCAGAAGTAACTATATGTTGAGATGGGAAATATAATTTTTATATTAAAGAACAAATGGAAAGAATTAACAGACTGTTCAATACAGAAAATAAAATCCATTATGTAGCAGACAGCCTCAAGAAATTTCCCAGTATTTCAAGGAAAAAAATAGGTTAAAATGATGACATATATATACATATTATATATATATATATGACTGGCATATATGTGTATATATATGTGTATGTGTGTGAAATATATATACACATATATATGTGTATGTGTGTGTATTATTCATATATATATATATATATACATGAGAGTAAGAATTTTAGAGCACCTTAAGGAAAAGTGATCTAATTCCCTTTCTAATTTCAGATTCAAACAAGTTGGGTTATCACCACAGAAGCCAAGAAAAAGAAAAAAGAGGGGAAAGGGGATGAGGAAAAGGAAGGAAGAACTATTTTGTATTTTAAAATAATGGAGTACATAGTTGGCTCAGTCAGTTAAGCATCTGCCTTTGGCACACGTCACGACCTCCAGGTCTTGGGATTGAGTCCCACATCAGGCTCCCTGCTCAGTGGGGAGCCTTCTTCTCCCTCTGCTCCTCCCCACTGCTCATGCTCTCTCTCTCTCTCTCTAATAAATAAATACAATCTTTAAAAAAAATCAGTCTGCAGATCAGACACTTTCACCAAATATATGAGACATAATTAATAAAAAGAAACAAGAAAAGCATTGGGGACTCTATAAATAATCAAAATTAAAGAACCTAAAATTGGGGCACCTGGGTGGCTCAGGGGGTTAAGCCTCTGCCTTTGGCTCAGGTCACGATCTTTGGGTCCTGGGATCGAGCCCCGCATCGGGCTCTCTGCTCAGTGGGGAGCCTGCTTCCTCCTCTCTATCTGCCTGCTTCTCTGCCTACTTGTGATCTCTCTCCCTCTGTCAAATAAATAAATAAAATCTTAAAAAAAAACCCTGACATTTAGTCACACTCATAAATATCAAAGACAATGAAGCAACATGTACAGAATTGGGAGGAAAAGTTGTGCCTCAAGAATGTTGTTTATGTGTGATGGCCTCAAGGAGAGAAACCCAAAGAAGAGAAGGCATTAAATATAAACCATACTGCATGGAGCACTGGGTATGGTGCACAAATTTTGGAACACTGAAAATAAATAAAATTAAATAAAATTTTTAAAAATTTAAAAAATGTAAACCACACATAGATAAAGTATCAAAATGTCTCTTAAAATATTTACATTTACATTTACAACATCCAACACATCGAAACAACCTAACTGTCCATCAGTAGATGAATGGATAATAAAGATGCGTGTGTGTATGTGCGCACGCATGCGTCTCTGTGTGTGTGTTGTGGAATATTACTCAGCTATAAAAAGGAAGGAAATCCTGCCATCTGTTACCACATGGATGTACCTGAAGGGCATCATGACAAGTGAAATAAGTGAGGCATAGAGAAATAAGTACCGTATTTTCTCACTTATTTGTGGAATCTAAAAAAAGAAAAAAAGGTGAACTCATAGATTAGGAGAACAGATTGATGGTTGTTAGAGATAGAAGGGTAGGGGGTAGGAAAAAGGCACAAGCTTCTAGTTATGAAATAAGTATGTCATGTAATGTAATGCACAGCATGGTAACCATAGTTAATACACTGTATTGTTTATTTGAAAGTTACTAAGAGAGTTGAACTTAAAGAGTTTCCCTCACAAGAAAAAAAATGTTGTAACTACGTGTGGTGATTCAGGCTACCAAGATTTATTGTGCTCATTTCACAATATAGACATATGTTGAATCACTGTGTCATATACCTGAAACTAATATAATGCTATCTGCCAATTATATCTACATATGCCTACATAAACCTACAGATAATACATATATCCACATACAGACATAACCCAATTAAAGAAAATGTTGTTTGTGTTCAGAAATAGGAATATATAAAAATAATTACGCAGCATGATCTAGAGAGTATTTTTCTAAGAAAGGCAGGGGGATGATATCACTAGGAAATCTACTAACATAAATATTAGTACATAAATAAATCAAAAGCCAGAAGAGTGAAAAACAAGAACTTCTGGATGGATGCATCCATTTCCAATACAAGTCTTAGTATCTGAGCTCTTTCTAGACCTGAGGAGGCAGCATGGCGGGGTGGGTGTCAACACAGGCCCTGAGGCCCAGGTTGCTGGCATCCCAATTCCAGTGCCGCTACGTGCTAACTGGTCTTGGGGCAGTCATTTGACCTATTAGTGTCTCAATTTTCCCATCTGTGTAATGGGGAAAATAATAATACCTCATGGAGGTATGGAGATAATTCAATGAGTTTTATATATACAAATTTACATTGGCACTTAGCCCCTTGCAGGTTATACAAGTATATATATTACCATTAATAATAGCAAATGCTTAGATAAACCAATATTCCAAACCAGACTTGACATGAACAGTCCTTATTAAAACTATGACCAAAACTAGGGCCTGCTCTCACTACTGCTATTTATCATTTTTGATAGGTTCCAAACAATTCAATAAGATAAGAAAAAATGAGTCATACATATTAAAAAGGAAGGAATCACATTATCATTATTTGAAGACTGATTATGTACTAAAACAAACCAAAGGAATCAACTAAAACAGAAAATCTATTAGATATAAAGCAAGACTCGAGTAAGTAGACAGGTTACAAATTAAACATCCAGAAATCAATTTTCTTTCTATAAACCAGCAAAATAAATTATTAAGTATAATAAAAACCCCATTCACAATAGGAACACAACTATAAAATATCTAGGAATAGAATTAATAATAAATACCCCAAGGGTTATATGATAAATCCCAGGACCTCACCAAGAGATAACAAGGAAAATTTAAAAGAATAAAGCAATATGCTGAATTCTGGGAAAGCAATACCATGCTGTATCAATTCTCCTCATATCAGTAAAACACCAATGGAGATTTTCAAACTTGGCAAATTAATTCCATTTTAGAAGAATAAATAGCGAAAGTATCCAAGAATAATTTTGAAATGAGGAGTGGAAAAAAAATAACAATGGGAAGATCTTATGCACTTACAATAATTCAATGCTACAGCATTAACACAAGACATGGCAAGACATGGTAGATCAAGAGAAGAATAAGGAGGGCACCAAAGCCTGTGGAATGTGTACAGGTTTGCATACAGTAAAGGTGCCTTCCAAGTCACCAGCAAATGGATTGTGATGGGGCTAAAATAAAAATCACTAGTTAATACTCCAGGGGAAAATCTTAACTCAAACACAAAATTATTCCATTTTGATGAAAGAATTAAATGTTTAAAAAAAAAACTTGAATGATTAGAGGAGGAATAAAACATATATTCCAATGTTCTATCATCTCCAGACCAGAAGAAGGTCTTCCTATGCGTATCCTCAAAGAAGAAACCATAAAGGAAAATAGTAATGATTGAATAAATAAAATTTAAATGTATCTCGTTAGCCTGAAATATCGGAAACCATGCTTTAAAAAAATAACAAATGTAATTGCAATAAAGGAAAAAAAATAACGTGATATAAAAAGCAAATTAATAGAGCAATGAAATGCCATAATTTGCTTTTCGATTCACGTTTACCTCTCACTCTCCAAATCATCACGCTCTGCTGGTAAAGGGCTATAAACAGACCAATCATAACCTGTTGCTGATGGAAGGTCTTATCACTGTGCTATTTCCATAGGGTAATTTGGAAATCCATTTCAGAAGCCTTAAGAATGTTTACCTCTTGGAGCTCACAATTCAAATTCCAGAAATTTATCTTAAGAAAATAATCGTAAGAGGAACAATAGAAAAAAAAAAATCCTAAATGTGTGGCAATATATTTCTAGTCAAATTTGAATGTATTCACAACATGGAATATTAAGACTGTGGTGTGTTTTGCCCCCAACACCATGGGGACAGACTCATGGGATAGCACCGAAGTACAGTAGGTTGACTAGAGTGTGACATGTCCGTTACGATCACAATTTTATTTAAAATTGTTAAAATGATTGATGTGTGCTAAAACATTCACAGCGGTTAGAAATACATGGTGAGAGGGGTGCATGTATTCTTTGTTTTCCTTATTTTATTTTTAATCATGAAAACTACAACATTGCTTTTACCATTCATACTTCCTTAAACAATGCGTGGGAGCCTGGAAATAGTAATGTATCTGAATTAATACCTTATTTTAGATACTGTGTGATTTAAAATTTAAAAGTAAAATTAAATTCAAAATTCAATCTTCTATATTGTTAGTGTAGTTAAATATTTCAATAAAATGAATTAAATATTTAATAATAACAAAAGGCAGAGGAACACTGGTTGGGCGTAGTCAGTTTCTCGAGGGCCCGCTTCTTCCTTCACGTGCTACCTGGCGTCCTCTAGGGTCTCTCCATTTCTCCGGGTCACTGGCCTGTGCCTGTTTTCCTTTTGGGGTAAACAGCCTGCAATAAGAAATCTATCCCCGGAAACATTCTCAGGATCTTCCCAAAGTGTCAGCGTGAGTTAGAGGCAGTGACTTTTAGAGTTTTAACCAAGTTTGGAGAGTCTGCAAAAAAATTAACTTTGCACACACTCTGCCTGGATGTGCACAGAGCAGGGAAATTCGAGCCAATCCAGCCCCTCAGATCTGGGAAGTCCCGCAGGCAGGCAGGCAGGCGAGCCGGAGGGTCGGTAGAGGGCTCCTCGGCTCCCCAAACCCATCAAACGTACTCTAAAGCTTCAGAACCCTTCCCCAGGCATGTTGGTGCCTCCGCCATCTGACGGGCTCCACTGCACACAAAGAAGCCCCTCTGTGTCCATCCTTCCAGCCCCAGCTTCCTGACCCATTGCTGACAGCTGTTTCTGTAGTAACTGCAAAAAGGCCCTACATTCACTGGAACAGCAGGCCTGAGGGTGTGGGCTGGACTTCCAATGTGTCCTTTATTTCAATGCTGGACCTTCCCTGCACCTTTTATTGGTGAATTCATGCGCAAGCCATGAATGACGCAGCAGACAGTGAACTCCTGGACCATGCATGTGAGGGTAAGTAGGAACAGAGCCTGAACCCAGGCAGCCTAGGATTTGAGCAGAGAGAGCAGTCTAAGCGAGCCCAACCCTCTTCTACAGATGCACAAACGGACCACAGCTTACACGAGTTTATGTAGCTGAGCACACCGAGGGTATAAAAAATGTTCCCCCGGCGCGAGTCAAACGTCCATGTCAATACACAGGCTTTAAACTTCACATGTTTGTTTAAAAAAAGCTTTTGGTGGTTTTGAGGTCATGTGTTCTTAGAGGTTATATGACCCTGTAAGTCCTGCGTTTTTAAAATTCCCCATTCCCTGGGCGCCTGGGTGGTTCAGTGGGTTAAGCCTCTGCCTTCGACTCAAGTCATGATCTCAGGGTCCTGGGATCGAGCCCCACATCGGGCTCTCTGCTCAGCAGGGAGCCTGCTTCCTCCTCCCTCTCTCTACCTGCATCTCTGCCTACTTGTGATCTCTGTCTGTCAAATAAATAAATAAATAAACAAACAAATCTTTAAAAAATAAATAAATAAAATAAAATAAAATTCCCCATATTCCCTTTCCTACCAGAAGGCTCACCCAGTATGGCACCAGGGGCATGCACAGCTCCAGCCGTGGACAAAAGGAGGTCATCCTCCTCTTCCACTATTTGCCACCCACTGTCCCTCGTCCTCATAGTCCCCTTCTCTTTGACCTGCAGCTCTGTCACTGGCTTCTGAAACCTGCCCTAGGCCATCTTGTAAGGTGACTACCAGGAACAATCTCTCTAGCTAGGGTCACTATGGGTTCTCTCAGACCCACTCTTAAGCTTCCCTTCTAGTGCCCCAGACTGGAGAGAAAAGAGAGAAGGTCCTCCTGCCTAGGCCCATATGAATCTTATACATATTGTATGAAACTCATCTGCAAAGGGCCAAGACTCCAGAAAGTAGATGCTGGTCACATCAACAGAGCAGAGTTCTGCTTTGCCAGGTTTCAATCCAGTTCAGTTTCTGAAGCCCGACCAGGTCCTGAGGGGCATGGCAGAGGAGCGAGGGAGGCTAGGATAGTGAGGGGGGCAATGGGAGGCTTCACTTGGTGGGCAGTGCCTCAGAGTCCAAAGGTGTGCAAGCATTTTAATACAGTGATAATCGACATGGCCATACTGGAATACCATCCCTGACCCTGACCCAGGTCTGAACACCCTACACCAGCCTATCCAAGTACAACCAGCCTCCTTGTCAGATGAGGCAGCAAGACACAAACCAAAGTACCTTCACGAAAAGGTAGGATGACATTAAGGTGAAGCCTCAGCTCCCAGCTTTCCCATATGTATGGTGGGTCCTCAGTGAGTGGCCCACCACACATGTCCTCACGGATCACACTGGAAGGCCAACAGCTTTTGCAAAAGGTATGCGCTCCGTGATGATACTCAGATCAGCACCTCTCGATGCATGATCTCCAGATTGGTGTTGGCCTGTTCACAAACACTGATCTGTGATCAAACAGGGGGCCTCAGCCTACATGTGAGTCAATCACATTATATAGAACATGTTTCTAGTTCAGATCTTCTTGCAAGGAAGGAAGCACCGTGATTATGTCCCTCTGCATTCCGGTACAAGTTCCTAATCTCTTTGCAGCAACAAAGGGATCAACAGCGCATGGCCCAGTTACTTTGTACAGCAATACTTCAAAACATCATCCCCAAGAAGGCCTCTGCTTGGACTCCTGCAAAGGGAATATTCTGGTAGTCAGTTGTCTGGAATAGGAATCTCAGCTCTGCCACTTCCTAGCCAAATGACCACGTTCAAGTTGCACAACCTCACCAAGCCCAATGTCTTCATCCTTAAAATGGGAAAACAGAACCTATCGCTTAAATGTTTTCGTGCAGATTAAATGGAGTATAATATGCACCTGCCCTGGGCAGAAGTGCCCTGGGCAGAAGTACAGGGTAGATGCCCTATCAACGTGCATTTCTAGCACTTTTTCCCACATGCACTTACACACCAGGGCACAGCAGAATCGCTACAGATTACAAATATACACACATATACCTATAAATACATGTATGCGTGCATGTGTGAATAGGCCCTCAGTTTTGCTTGGCTTTCATGTCCTTTCTTCCAATTTAAACCTCTGTTTTCCTCCAATATAACCTGGTCAGATGATGTGGATAAGACACAGAGGGGCAAACTATGGACCTTGACATTCAGGGAAGCTAGAGCTTTCATCCACCAATGGGCATCAGGTTACTGAACAGGGTGAGATAGGAGAATTGTATTCCTAGCATATGACATTTTTATGGAAAGGAAAAGCTGAATTAAAGAAAATACCGAGCTTGAGCAGAAAAGAGAGAAATCACCCCCAAAAGAAAGCTTCATTTGATAAATCAAGCAAGTTGGTCAAAGAGTAAGACGGAGCCACGTTACAGTCCAAGGGGACCAGAGTGACTTCGTGGGGAGCCCTGCACCCTGATAATATCTTAGCAACGTCGCCATTGCTACCACCGCTTCCCAAAACCCTAGACCAGCTTGTCTGGGGACTGTTTGCCTGTTGCAGCCATGAGGCTTCTAACGAGGTTTAACCAACCAACAGGGACCCATAAGTAGCTGATAACTGCTCTCCAATCACATGTGCATTTACGCGTGGGGTCTTCTAGGAGCATTCTCGGCTTCATGAAGAATTCGAGAGTTTTCTGAAGGTTGGTGAGCAGGCTCAGTTTCAGCAAGCAATTATGAGAGTCTACTCTCCACTCACTCATTCATTAGACATTTATAGCTCTCTGCACGTACATGACCTTGTGCTAGGCGTTACGGAAGGGGAAAGCATGGCCCCAGTGCTCAGAGGGCACTTCTGTGTCTGTCCCCTGCAGGGGACCACCTTCATTTCTCTATCTCTGTATCTCCCAGTGTATACAGCACAGGGTGTGATTTCGGAGTGCAGGGTGGGCATTTAGAGATCATAGAAAGAGACAGAAGAAGACACCAGTCTTCATGGATCCTACCGTCTATTAGGCAATACAGGACATACACTACAATGGAAAATATTCTGGATGTTGAGAGGAAGAATAATGGCTCTGGCATTAGCTGGACTTGGAAGCTTAAGGACCCGCAGATATATTTTGTTCGACCACTTTTCCTGCTCCTGCACGGTGTTATCAAGGTGGTCTAACAGAGCAGGTATAGCGATGGAAGCAGCAAGCCCCTGAACACATAACCATTTTACAACCTTTCTAACCTCTGCATTTTATCTGCCTAGCCCCTTCAGACATTCAAGTGCTGAGCATTTCTAGTCACTAACACTGCCCCTTTGATACTTTGGTTATTTCTTTTCAAGCTTCGCTTGACTGAATACTTTGGAGAGGGACGGAGAGGGAAGAAAACAAATACGAACAGAAAGAGGGGCTAAGATCCATTCGGGCGCACAGATTTATGTGTGGCTAGGAGTTGAACGTTACGATCCGAAAGACAGTATCTGACCAAAAGCAATATAACAACTTTATATTCAGTCGGCCAATGAGGCCTGACCAAATGCAGAGAAAAATCATCATTCAGGACTTAAAAGCAATGAGATGGCTGCATAAAATTTCCACATTGAGTTGATAAGTAAATTAAGAAATAAGGGTTAATTTTAAAGAGTTTGAACTAGAGGAATCAGGAAGAAAATTTTATTGACAGCACTGATTAATACAATTAACATTCGGGAGGGGAAAAAGATTATGTCTGAATCCTTCTAAAACTTTGCTGTTTTTCAGCAAATCACGCCTACCAAATTGCAAATAGATTTGGGACGTTGATGTGTGAGACCATAGGCATACATGTTGCATTTTAAAATATATGCACAGTGACAGTGCAAGAAGCAATGTGATTCATAAATTTATTTAAGAAAATTATTTTTGCAGACGCCTGGGTGGTTCAGTCGGTTAAGCGTCTGCCTTTGGCTCAGGTCATGATCCCGGGGTCCTGGGATGGAGCCCCATGTCAGGCTCCCTGCTCAGCAGGGAGTCTGCTTCTGCCTCTCGCTCAGCCCTTCCCCACTGCTTGTGCTCTCTCTCTCTCTCTCTCTCGCTTGCTCTTGCTCTCACTCTCTCTAAAATAAAATAAAATAAAATAAATTAATTTTTGCTATGTGCAGAGCATTGACAGATTCCCCCGCTGCAAGTCTAGGCTCCAAACCGTGTGGCCTTGACTGTGCCACTCAGCCCAGATGTAGGCATGAGGCCCCTGGTCTAGCAACACATTCAGATGAAAATGAAAAGGCTACTCTCCTTCTACCTGCTCGCTGCCTAGAGTGGCAGGCTGACATTTTCTGCAGGGAACCCTCTCTTTCCTGTGCATGTAGGTCTAAACACCCCTGGCTCTGCTTCCTGGATAAAGGGAACGTGCTAAACCCCTATCAATCCAGGAACAGTCGCACCACGACTGCCAACCATGCACCTGTGGCTTTGTGATTCCCCAGGGTTTGCTTCTGTGTAGGGAGGCCTTCAGAATCCATGAGCAGAGAAGTAATAATAATAGTAATAAACACAGGAGCAGAGCTGAGCACTGTCAGGCTATAATCGCTCTGGCTACAGAGCAAACAGTCCTACGGTCAGCCCGTGCAGCTTTGATACCCAAGTGCTCAGGAGGAAACAGCTGGAAACCCCAGCAAGCGGGAGACATATTAGCAGGCTGTGTTCACTTCAAAAGGGGAGAATGTTTTATTTCGTAATGGAACTCTTCCCAATCAGTCCTGTCTTCTCCCTTCCTGCCCACAGCCTCCTTCGGCTGTCTCATTTCTTACAGGAAGGGGGAGTGTTCAGGTTAGAGCCTGTTGTTGGCTAAAGAACAGGGATGTCCCATCAGGGAAAGAGACTTCGAAGTTCAAGGTGCAGCGGCAGGGTAGAGAAAACAGGAGCGGGCCGCTGAAGTCCCCCAGAGGGGACGGCCGATGCTTCCCA